TTACTGTCTCTTGCAAAGTGAAGTTTGAAATTTGACGGAGAAATAATACGAGGGTCTTCTGATTTCTCAATAACAAAAAATTTAATAATGTTTTTTTTTTCAGATAGCAAAATAAGAAAAAAATACATTTTTGAGAATCAAAAACGTGTTTAGCATTTCAAAAATAAGAACTCTTGACTATTCAAAATAATTAAAATGATACAAAAAGAAAGTTTTTTGAAAAAAAAATGTAGCCATGGATTTGAGTTCATGGTTTGTTCAGCAACAAGTGGATATCGTCAAATAGTAGAAAAAAGGAGTCCATGACCAGTAAAGGCAAAAGCTCCTTAGAGGATGCGCATGTTTAATCAATCTCATCTATGATGCGTATTCATGACATGAATTGTCTCACATGAGTTAAAGAAAAATGCGGTAAAATCTTTTAATAATAGCATGATTTGTTCCGAACTAATGAGTAATAAATTTGACTTCAACAAAGTGACATTCAAGATATGTTCATCAAACTGTCTTGAATATTTGGCGACCAAAATTGAAAAAGATATCGAAGTCTACAGTAAGTCAACAGGGACAACTCAGCCCCCCTCAACTTCAAGGCGCAGCCCAGGACCCAACCAGCGGTTCTACCTCAAGTGCCATAATCAGAGCCCAAGTGCCAATCTACCAAAAGTGCCATAGTCAGAGCCCAAGTGCCGGTCTACCAAGTGCCATAGTCAGAGCCCAAGTGCCGGTCTACCAAGTGCCATAGTCAGAGCCCAAGTGCCGGTCTACCAAGTACCATAGTCAGAGCCCAAGTGCCGGTCTACCAAAAGTGCCATAGTCAGAGCCCAAGTGCCGGTCTACCTCAAGTGCCAAGTCAGGCTAGATCCATTTCAAAAACATTTTTTTCACATCCATTTTGTGCTTATGCTTGAAAACTATAGTCAATCTACAAAACTTCTAGACCAAAAACTGAAAAAAAAACAGGCCTGAATAAAATTTTCAGTAAATCTCCCCCTCAATCATAAATCATTGTGCTTGTACTTGTCAGCCAAAACCCACACTGTGCTAGATTTTTTAATTGTGCTAAGCTTTCGTACAGTTTTTTTTTACGAAATCTACAACCTCCAATGTGAAATCTTAGTGCTGAATTGGTCAATTTGATTTTAATCCTCGGGGTATTAAGTTAGTACCTAAACACACAAAAAAAAATACTGATAGCCAAAACCCGATAGCCAAAATCTTTTAGCCCAAAACTAGCTGCTGCGAATTTTCAAAGGCCAACGTTTTCTTTAAACCCATATCTAAAAAAGGTTTTACTAGCCACATCTACAAAAGTTTTACAAAAATTTTGAAAGTCTCAAAATTTTTCAAACTCATTTGAACTCTTAAAAAAGAAAAGAAGAAAGTTTCACCGCTTAGTCCTTAACCATAACTAAAAAGCTCATAACTGCGTGAGCTGTAGCTCACTTTGTTTCATTAACCACCGGGTTAACCCTCTGGCTGGTTGACTTTAACAAAAAATTAAACGTAACTTATAGTAAAAACCTTGAGAAAGCTCAAAATAAAAGCTTCATTACCGGAACTACTTTGCGATCGCTGCCATCCGAGCTCGTAAACTTTTAATACATATTTTCTACTCTTTGTACTACTTTCTTGAATGGCTCCAACAAAGCCGACCTTACAACAGCTACTCAATCAATGGAGACGCCGCTACAGTACTTTCGAGGAGCTTGAGGAAGAAGTAACGAGGCAAATAGCCAACTCAAGCGAAATCGAGTACGTTAAACTCAGTTTTGAGGAGATAACCACTTGTTTTGATCTGCTTGATACGCTCGCAGACGACTTAGCCGCGTTTTCTACTCAAGAAGCACAAGACTGCCTCAACACTGCTTCAACGCTACGAAAACGAAAGTGCGACCTACTAATCAATGTTAGAAAATACGAAAAGGTCTTAACAAACGATGGTTCAGTTTCCACAAGGTCTAACAGCCCACTTAGAGTGCAAGGCACATCTGCAACAGCTAGTGTACCAGTAGGAAGCTCAAATACTACTGAAAACTTGGCCAACAACTTCATCAGTACTACGGCTGCCGACTTCTCAACTTACACATCCACCTACGGCTTGAGTACATTCGACTTAGACGCTCCCCAACGCTACAGTTTCCCACCTCTACCGGGAACCAACAGAGCTATGGATCAGACAGTCAACGGTGTCATCACTACTTCTACAACTGATTTCAGATCAGTCTCGCCGTCTGCAAACCCGTGTACTTTCAACTTTTGAGCTCCACTACGATACAACTTCTCGCCTCCACCAGTTTCCAATGAAAATCACATTTGGAACGACAACTCAAGACTTGAAGCCCAGATGTCAACTGGCAATAATCGATATGGTCTGCTAACAACTTCAATTGCAAATAGTCCTGCTACTACATCTGAACAGTTCGTTACCAACCACTTTAACGACCATCATAGGACTATCCTACAACCACACGAACAACAACGCAACAGCCTTTTCGATAATGAACAAAGACAAATCACCAACCACACTACCAGTCATCCGACCACTGCCATCAACTACAGTTTGAAAGGATTCAAATTGCCAGATATAAAACTACAAAAGTTTGACGGCAACCCACTGGAGTGGTACAACTGGTTCGAACTCTTCCAGACTGCGATTGGCAACAACCCATGCCTAAGCCCGGTTGAAAAAATAACTTACTTGCAGTCATTATGCACTGATAATGCTAAATCTTTAATAGAGAGCTACGGAACCAATTCTTCTCAGTATGAACAGGCAATACTTGAATTAGTGCGTAGATACGGTAACCCAAAATATGTGGTGTCAGCGTTCATCAGGGAACTTGAAAAGTTTGACAAATTGATACTAAGCGAACCACAGGGTTTCATAAGATACGCTGCTTTCCTACGGAAACTAATCCACAACTTCGAACACAACGGCTACACCGCTGATCTAAATTCTAGTAACCTGACTCGACTTGCTCGATCAAAACTCCCAGTAACTCTACTAATGAAGTGGGAAGAACACTGCGTGCTGCACGATCTCGATTATGCTACACTCAAAGACTTGACGCAGTACCTCAATAACTACTCGCGAGCATGCGAGAACCTGGACATAGACCCGTCGACTCCAAACCGAGCGGGACGAAATCGCCAACCTATGAAGCAACAACAACCCGACAGCCGACCCAACCAATTTACTTTTATGTCCAGGCAAAACTACGACAAATCTTCAGGCATATCAGCAAGACCAACAACTTTAACATGTTCAATAGATAACCAAGTTCACTACGTTGGAAAATGTCCGGACGTTTTGAAACTTCCCGTAGATCAACGGGCAGAGCTGGTGAAGCAACATAAGCTGTGCTTCAACTGCTTAGGCCAACACAGATTTAGTGAATGCACATAGTCTAAGCGATGTTTCATCAACAACTGCGGAGGGAAACACCATTCAACTCTACACATCGACAAAAAACCGTTTCAAACGCACAACCGAAAATCAAATAACATGCAGCTTGGCACTACAGTAACCAAGCCCTCGGAACAAGCTGAGGATCCAATCCAAAATACAAACAACATCAGAAATCAGTTACAATTTATGCCGGTAACACTGTTTAACAATGGCATCAAACTAGATTGCTACGCCATACTCGACAACTGCAGCAGCTGCTCATATATCCTCAGCAAAACAGCTGAAACACTTCAGTGCAAACCAAGCCAACAACTACAGCTTAGCGTACGAGGTGCTTTCAGTAACGACAAAGTGTCTTCCTCGCTGGTCCGGCTTAGTATCGGACCACATAACGCTACAAAACCTACTTTCACCCTACAATCAGTCTATTCAGTTGAAGCTCTGAGTTTTGACGCTATCGACGCAAACAACCTTAACAAACGTGCTCACTCTACAATCACCTTCGACATGTCAACTTTCCTGAACTAGGCGACAACACAGTTCAAATATTGCTTGGCGTAGATGCTTTCTGGAATATAGCGGAGCGCGATATCAGAAAAGGTCCTACAGGCACCCCCTACGCTGTAAAAAACCTACTAGGTTGGACGATCACTGGCCCACTCAACCAGAAATCTAATAGTTCCGGACCAAGTTCACACTCAACTAACTTCATTGACTTAAATGATCAAGAAGACGCTAATCTCACTGAATTAGTGGAAAATTTCTGGAAAGTAGAAGGATCAGGCATCCAGGAAGATAACAAAGCTACATACTCTGATAAAAGCAAACGACAACTAAGATTTATGGAAAAAAGTATTGAGCACGATGGAGATCGCTACAAAATAAATCTGCTCTGGATAAACGAAATAAAATTGCCAAACAATTATCCGGTAGCTAAAGCTCAACTGCTATCGCTACAAAAACGGCTCAGAAAAGACCCTGAATTCATGCAACTCTATGAGAAATCGCTTACTACCGACCTGGAAAATAACTACGTCAAGCCCGTTACTTTCCAATACCCACAACCTGAATTACTTTGGTACCTCCCACATCACCCTGTAACTAATCCAAACAAGCCCGGAAAGGTACGCAGAGTGGCCAACGCCGCCTCAACGTACAAAGGCGTCTCGCTGAACTCTTGCCTCGAAACTGGACCTGACCTCCTGAACAACATGTTTGGACTTCTACTTCGATTCCGGGAAAAACCTGTGGCTGTATCAGCGGATAATGAAGGTATGTTTATGCAAATAGGTATTAAAGATGAAGATCAAAATGCGCTTCGCTTCCTTTGGCCTACTAAAAATGGTATCAAACAAAACCAATACACGCGACTTATCTTTGGTGCAAAATGCTCACCATCCATTGCCATCTTTGCGCTTCATCAAACAGCTGCCGTTTACTGCATAACCAAACCCAGTATTGCTCAACTGCTTCACAAAAGCTTTTACATGGACGACTTCGTTCACTCGTTCAACACGACACACGAGGCTAGAGACTCTACTACGCAACTAAAATCCTCCCTAAGACAGGGGGGATTCAACCTAACTAAGTTCGTATCTAACACTAATGACGCGATCTACTCCATTGATGGAGGCGAAGTTTCTACTAATGCTACAGTGCATCGTGTTCTGGGTGTCAAATGGGACACAACTGACGATACGATGTTCGTGCAACCAACAACCAAGCTAAATAATACTACATCATCTACACTCCGAACAGTTCTCTCTACAGTAGCAAGGGTTTTCGACCCCTTAGGCATCCTAGCGGCGTTTGTCATAAAACTCAAAATTCTTCTGCAAAACTTGTGGAAGTCTGGTATCTCTTGGGACGAAACTGTGCCCAGTGACTTTGTTCCGATAATTGACAAATGGGTTGACCAATGCAAACAAGTACCCCCTGTTAGACTGCCGCGCTTACTTGGTCCACAGCTGTCACCTAGTGATATACAGCTTCATATTTTCTGCGACGCGTCGCAAGACGCAATGGCTACGTGCATCTACTTCCGAACTGCTTGTAGCTCTGGCATACACGCTACTTTCTTGATTGGCAGAACAAAGGTAGCACCACTGAATCAAGAGAGCATTCCTAAACTGGAATTACAAGCCGGCCCTTATGGGTGCTCGGCTATGCAAGTTCGCTACTGATGAAATGCGATTAAAGCCCCACTCCACTCACTTTTGGACGGATAGCACTACTGTTTTGTCCTGGATCGCTTCACCTGGTAAACTGAAAACTTACTGCGCAAACAGAGTTGGTGAAATACTTACTTTATGCAAAGCCGAACAATGGAAACACATACCTGGTAGACTCAACCCAGCAGACAGTGCTACACGAGGAATTGAACTTAAAGACGTAGCAAAGCTCTGGTTGGATGCACCACAATTTCTACTCAACAATGAGCCTATTTGGGGGACCAACGAAATAATGGAACAAAGTAATGCTACAACGGTTAGCCCCTCAACTACACCCTTAATCGATTCTTCCAGGTTTTCAGATTGGTTTCGATTAGTTCGGGTCACAGCTCGGGTTATAGTTTTTGTCGATACACTTAAGGGAAACGGCAAACGTTCTACCACTATGGAAGACCTAGAAAAAGCTAAGCTCCTCCTTTATCAACAGTCCCAGCAAGAAACCTTTGGTGACATCTACAATCAACTACGAACCAAGCAACAAGTTGAAAACAAAGACAAACTGCAACAGCTGTCACCTTTTCTCGACAACGGTGTTATTCGCGCGCGAGGACGACTACGAAACTCACCTTTACCGGACGCAACAAAGTATCCAATAATTCTTAACGCAAAGGACCCAATTGTGCGTATGATGATCGAGAGCGCTCATCGCCGCTGCATGCACCACGGCACTGAGCACATTCGCAACTACCTGCAACAAAGTTTTGTCATCATTGGGCTCCGAAAAACACTCAGACAGAGAAGACATAACTGCTTTCTCTGCAGAAGATTCCAAGGCAAAGGGCTACATCCACTCATGGCCGACTTGCCGCCAACTCGTTTCGACGATCCGTCTGACGACCCATTTCCGTTCAAAAACACAGGAATTAACTATATCGGGCCATTCTACATAGCAACAAAGGATACAACTGAAAAAAGCTATATTTGCCTCTTCACATGCCTCTCTACTCGCGCGGTTCACCTGGAATCGACAGACAACCTTACTACGAACAACTGTATAACGGCAATTAGACGTTTTATTGCTAGGAGAGGCACACCTAAGCTTTTAATCTCTGACAACGCTACTTACTTCGTCGGCGCGCGTAAACAACTACGCTCAGAACCAATCAACTTCAACGAAACCACCCTAACTGAAACGCTACAAATCCACAATGTTGAATGGAGCCTAAATCCTCCGGCTGCCCCCCATTTTGGCGGCGTGTGGGAGCGACTCGTCTCATTAATAAAACGAGCATTCTTACTAAATCTCGGTTCTGATCGACTATCAAGAGATCTATTTGCTACTATCGTAGCCGAGACCGAGGCAATCCTCAACTCACGTCCGCTAACTCATGTCAGTAGCGACCTTGACGACGACCTTCCACTAACACCCAACCACTTCTTAATGGGTCGTCCATTCGTCTACGCTCCAGCAGCAGCCTTCTACGAAGCATCTACCAGTAAACTGTCAAACAAGTCCTGGAAGCGAGCAAAAGATAGACTTGACAGCTTCTGGAGGCGTCTACTTAAAGAGTACGCTCCGACTCTCATCAGAAGGACTAAATGGACGCAACCCGAGGAACCACTCGAAAAGGATGACCTCGTGTGGATACTTGAGGACTTTACACCACGAGGCATCTGGCCACTGGGTCGAGTGTTAGAAGTTTTTACCGGCTCGGATGGCATCGCGCGCTCGTGTAAACTGAAAACAGCCCTAGGTACTTTAACAAGACCAGCGGTGAAACTTGCCCTCGTAACCCCAAAAAAGAAGATTTAAGACCACTTTAATTGTATTACTACAACAACAACAAAAAAAACTTGGCTCAACTCCTTCCCCTTCGGTTCCAAATAAGATCTCCCTCCCCCGAGGATATTCATGACATGAATTGTCTCACATGAATTAAAGAAAAATGCGGTAAAATCTTTTAATAATAGCATGATTTGTTCCGAACTAATGAGTAATAAATTTGACTTCAACAAAGTGACATTCAAGATATGATCATCAAATTGTCTTGAATACGCATCTTTTATCGACCTTTTTTTAGCGTTGACTAAATTGATTTTCTGAGCTCTCCTAAAGCGCTGAAAATACCCTTGAAAGAAAAACATGCCAAATGAGGCGTTTTTAAGCACTTTAGACGCTGCCACCTCAAAATTAGTTAATCAAAATTAGCTGCCCCTCGAATCCCTGAGGCGAGAGGCGTCGCACCCACACCCCTCCCCCTAAGTCCGCTAATGATATTGATATTGGTCAAAACCACCTTCATGGGAAGAAGTGTACAGTGCTGATTTGAATTATCCGGACAAAGCGCATTAAACTAAAAATTTAGAACGCGTTGAAATAGGTAAAAAAATTATGAAGACAAAATTTTCTTAGAATTTAAGTAGAATTAATATGGTTTTGGAATTTGTTTTGCGATATTCTGGCCCAAACTTTTAACCCAAAAAATTAATTTGTGCTTCTTTTAGTCATTCAAGGATGATGCCAAAACTACTTGGTTGATCACTGACATCATTATATAAAAGTGAGCCTCTAACGTAGCCAAAGTATTAAGAAGGGTAGACTCTCCAAAAAATGACAAAAATTGTTTAAAAAGAATTGTTTTATATAGTAAAAACAACCTTTTTTGTCTATCAAACAAAAATTAATTAAAATATAAAACGTTTTGGAAAGCATACCCAGCTTAAAGTTTGTTACATAAGAGGCTAACTTTGATCAATCCAGTAGTTTTGGCGTAGTTTTTGATTGATCAAAAAAGCCAAAAGTGATCCATTTTTGACATACATTTTTGAGCACAAAAAAGTTGTACCATATTAATTCTGCTGAAATACTAGCAAGTTTTGTCAACATCAGTTTTACCTAAATACAGCTCAATTTTAGAAAAAGGCGTTTTCAATTTCTAGCTTTTTAAAACGCTTCTAGCTTTTTAAAATTTCTAGTTTTAAATTTCTAGCTTTTTCTAGTTTTAAATTTGGTCCGGATAATAAAACAGCAAAGTCAGCGCTCAAAGTCAGCGCTGTATAAACGTAAACTTGGTTATGTTTTAGTGAACTTGGTTATACTTTTTTAGCATGCTCCCCCTTTAGAACTCAACGTACAATGTGAAGAGTTTACAAAGCTAAGAGCAACGAATGATTTTAAAATGAATAAACTTCTATCATCTTTTGCTGCAAGAGTTATCTTTGTGTCAGCGTTGCTGATGCTAAACTTGCTTTATTGGGTGCGTCTGGACACGCCACGTAAGGACATCGGGCAACCGCTGGTAGTAAAAATGAGCAGAGATTTCAAGTCATCTTTCATTCAGCCAGAGAAGATTGAAGGATCTCGTCAGAAATTGATTTATCTAACTCGTATAATAAGCAACGATTTGCCACCAATGCATTTTGAGGACCAAACTTACCTAAACACGAAGGCCATTTTGAATCATGAGCCGTTGCCTTCAAACTTCAGGTAAGGAACTTTCTAATCGTCGTGTGCTTTTTGACGCATTTTGAAAGTGTCCCTTTTTTACGAAATTAGGCGACTCCTAATGACTCATCTGTTAAAGCCTTTTTGACATTTTCAAAATACTTAAGAACTGACTGTTAGTGACTGATACCGATTCAGGTGCTAGGTAAATCAGACGACATGACATTAAGACGACAAAACATTCAGACGACAAATGAACATTAAAACATAACTGTTCGAATGGAAGCGAAATCAATCTTTTTCTCTGAAATACAATGAGGAGAATTGCGTAAATTGTCGTCTTAAAGTCCCATCAAAACGGTTATCGTCTTAAAGTCCCATCAAAACGGTATTCGTCTTAGTGACATGTCGTCTTCCGAATAATTTATTGATGTTTGTTCGGGCACTGTGGACTAAATATAACTGCCCGCAACTAACAAAAGTCGACCAAAAGTTTGGTGAAACTTAACATTTTCATCTGATTTTGGTTGTTTGCCAGACGCTTCTGGGTGATCTACTGCGTGATGAACAAAACCACTGAATTGCGGTTGGAGAAATTGATCCAGTCAAAACAGGAGAAGTATCACATTGTCCCCTTTTCAAGTTCGAAAGACGTTGCAGCAGTGATAAAGGAGACTTTGAACAATGACAGGGCCAGAAATATTGGAGTGCAGATGAGTAGGCGACAATAAATTACAATATCAGACACTGCCAAAATATCCTTCAAAGTGAAAAACGGTTTTTTTTCTATTTCATAATTAAAACTGCGAGTTTTTGTTTAATTGTATTAAGCATAATTGTTCAAAATGGTCGATAAATCGGGTGGTCGATAAATCAGTTCTTTTCCACCCCCCTCCCCACATCTCAAATTTTCAATTTTTCGGCTGAATGCGTGATTTTACAATAAAAAGTATGCTGAACAAATGTTTTCACAATAGTTAGTTTGTTCACCATGCAATTTTTCATGATATTATGGCAACGTAAAGTTAGTTTTTCAAAACGGAGAAAATCAAATGTAGGGGAAAATGGTTAAGAGCCGATAAATTTCAATGACAATCGAAAATGGGGTATGTCGAGAAGGGGGTGGGTTGTTAAGACGGCGGAAGGGGGCTTAGAGTGGCGAAGAAGTTCCTATTGTCAAGATCAGTGTTTGATATTTGAATCCATCTGCCAAAGGCTTCGACGATGGGGCAGAGTGGGTCCACAGTCTTGACGGTTGTCAGTTTCTAACCGGGGAAAGTATTTCCAACTTGGATCGAGCTTTGAACAGCTTGAAGGACACCCAAATTTTCCACTTTGTTCCGCTGGTGCGACTTTGGTACAAAATCAACGTTACGGAGGCGCTTGATTACCAAACACTTTTTCCTTTCGTTTCGGGTCTGGAGGAGGCAACGGTCGTGGTGAACAAAAAGTTTTTGGAGCAGAGACCCAAAATCGGTTTTATCAAAGAAACGAAAGGGTTGATTTACGACGAAGACCGCACCTATGCACAAGCCGAGAAGCTAACGTTCTTACAAAATGCCAAAAGGAATCTAAACTCTACCTACATCAGCTGTCTGCAGGTTGTTTATTCTTTCATTTTCTTCTTGCGCTTCAAAATTCCACTTCAAGGTTAGAATTTAGTTTTTTAAGAAAGCATAAAAAAACAATTTTTTTTGAAAAAATTTGCACCATAAAAAGGGTTAAGCTAAAGCTGAATGTACCTGTTGGTGCTTTGCTTAAGAATATGCTCTACGGATAGGGAAACTTTGAATAAACTTCAAAATGCCTGTTTGACATAAAGTTAGACTTTTGCCACGATCATTGCAGTTTCACTACCAAAACTACCACATCAGTTTCCCTGCACAAATTCTGAAGACTTCACATATTCAGGAGTTATCCATAAAATCCTTTTTTTCTTGAACCCTTAATCTCAAAATTGGCAGGGGCGTTTTGGAGAAGGTCATCCAGTCCGCAGTCCGGATTGGCAAACGCCATATTTATCTAACCTCACTGCGTTGAGATTGGTCAGCTGACCTTGTACATTGATGTTGTTATAACTTTGTAAAAGCTCAGACGTTGAATAAAGAGTTTACAAACTTGTCGTTGTTATTTGAGTTCCGAACCGACAATTGTAGTTCACCAATCCTTTCGGAATCGTTATTATAGATATCTCATACCACACGTATGACATGCCTTAACCAGCAGGATTTATACAAAACACACTCAGTGGTAATCCATTTTGGGAAAAAGCATCGGAAGAACGGCCAATAGAATGGTTGAAATGGTACAATCATAGAGATGGCAGTGTTCGCAAAAGACGGAATAGAGATCCGATGGTTGCGGGACAAACCAGAACTAGTGGAACCATAGTCAGAGGCGATTAATTAAGTGGAAGTCCACGGCGAGGCAGAAACCCGAAAGAAAAATCGAGAGATGAGAAACAAGAAGAAGAGAGTCAAATGCCAAGAAGCTCGCGCAAAAGACCTACTATGCAATTCATTTGCATGGGACGAGGCAGACGCAAAAGTAAGAAGCTACTTATTTCTATGCTTAGGCACAGAGGAGCAACGATAGGTACAGCAGAAACCGCAGGGATTAGATAAACAAGCTGCGACGACAAAAGACCTAATGCGAGTACTAGAGGATACTTTTAATCACTGAACGAATCATCGCTTTTGAAAGGTTTAATTTTGTTGGTCATAAACAAAACGGCAAATGTATAGCTTGAGCAGTTTCATGGAGATTTGGTAGACCATCACCTGCGGGATAAAGGCATAGAAAATCATAAAAATATGATGGAAACAAATCCATTCAAACTATCGATGTCAACTACATTTAAACAAGAACTACTGAGTTACAGTTCGAGTTCGAATTCGAGGTCGGGGCGGCCAAGCTCAATTTTAAAGCAATTTACGAGGAAGAAACCAAAGAAACGACAAAATTATACACGTGTAACACAAAATAGAAAACAACAAAAGCACCAACAACAAAAACATTGTTACATGTGCAACGAAAATTTCGGCCGAGACCAAACATCAGCAAACACGCCCGGCAAAAGATGAATTTGAGCGAAGTGCGCAAAACGAGGATATTTAGCCAAAGTGTGCAGGTCTACCAATTTTAATTATCTACACAAAAGAACTGAAGAACAAACAGAAGAAGAAGATCATACCAATGATTTCGAAGAGAAAGACCCAGTTGGAATCGCCGATTTGACATCCAATAACGTATGCGAAGAATTCCCGCGGAATAGATTTTTGGTAAGGCTTCATCTGAAGTATTTCCAATAAAAAAAATTCAGCAAAAAAAAACAGACAACAATCCAAACGGACACATCGTCAACGTAAAAGCAAAATCTGATGCAATTTTCGCTATTGTCGATTCGGGAAGCCCAAAGTTGTTTGATGACAAGAAAACTGCTCAATGTTTGCGGAAAAACGACAGTTCGAACATATTCAAATACATCCCACCGGAAAATGCGACGCGAAACCTGGAATACTACAATGATAAATTAATTTTTTCAAGAGCAAGAATGATTATTGCATTGGAATCCGGGGAATGGACCAATCAATCAGCCCCATTTATCATATTCAACGATCAAAAAGCAAATAATATCGGAAGAAACCTACTATCGCAAATTATATAATACTTGTGAAAGATAAGCCAAAACATTGCCAAATGCTGAGCACAGATGTGATGAACAATTCAATCATTGATATCAAACAGTGGGTAAAAGACAACTTCATACAATTATGCATAAGAATCGGAAAAGTAAAAATCACGTGATGAAAATAAAATTTATGAAAGACGTGATCGCTAATCATCATAAAGGACGCCGAATTTTGACTCATCTTCAGGAAAGTGTCGAAAAATTTTTGTACAAATTGATAGAGCTTAAGCTTCTTATAAAATTGGGCAAAAACTTAGACAAACATTTCATTATTTTAATCGTTATTACCGTAATAAATTGATCAGGCGGTCAAATTGGCACAGGATTCAAAGAAAAAAATCAAAAGATTTTTTTTTATCAAATGCCATAGTGAACTACTATAAGACAAAATCACACAAATGGTAAAAATGGACTTGAAAGGAGGACAGCATCGCACAATCAGTAAAATTGGACTGTAAAATCGAACGCTTATTTGCAAATCCCATTGGATCAACGAACCAGAAAACAATGTAATTTTAGCCTCATCGGAGGCAACGCCACAGAACTGATCACTTTCAAATAGGCTTCTACGGGCTAACGGCTATGACAGCGGAGTTTCAAAAAGCCATAGACCCAATGATGACAAATCGCCAACTTATAGTAACTAAAGGATTGCTAGAGATACACAAAAACACACTTAAATTCGTTTTACAAAGGTTAGACAAAAAAAAATTTTGCTATCTCCTCAGACAAATGTAAGTTTGCATGTAAACAGATCGAAAGGCTAGGCTATAGTATAGATGGTGAAGGCACAAAATCACTTATTAGAAAAACAGAGGCAATTAATAACTTACTCCGCCAAAATCTTTCAAAAAGTTACATGAGTTCAATACATCAACTCATAAGGTGCATTTCCACATCTATTCCAAACTGCTGCTGCACTGCGATCACTCTCAAAACACAACATTTAACAAAATCATAAAACTAGTTTCAGAGATAACAAAATAAACGTTTTGACCAGAAACCTAGAAACCCGCGTGGTTTGCCATGTATCAATCTTCGGCCTAGGAGCGGCACTTGAACAACACACTAAGGAAGGTTGGGCGGAAATTGCTGGGTCTTCAAGAATTTTAAATTCAATGGTAGAGAAATACCCGGTAAACGAACTTGAAATAATCTGAGTAGTTTGGGCAATTGAACAATTTAATTTTACATGTACGGAAAAAACTTTATTGTCATCACAGACCATCAAGCTTTGATCAGGGCATTAAACGGAAGCAGAAAAACAAAATTTAGTCAAAGTGTGCTAGCAAGATGAATTGACCGAATAACTCCCTCCAACTTTGAAAAAAAAACACTTTGCGAGAAACAAATGGGGCTGAACAGACTACATGTTGCAAAATGGAGTTAGATTGGCAATATTCCCAAGCGAGTATAATGAGGAACTTCTGGTAGCGTCAAAAAATTCATTCATTAAAAATCTTATCCAAAACACATACACACGAAAAAAAAAGAAAAATTGAGGCGGCAAAACTACTACAAAAGATTTGAGGATGGATTTTTACCGGAGAGCGAAAATAGTAACAAACGAAGAAGAGGAGAAAAAAAAACTAACAAAATGTTGCAAGGAGATTCGGACAGCGAATAAAATTTGACAGATTTACGCTGGCATTGGGGAAAGACGACAACATTAACAAAGTTTGAACGTTGAACAGCAGAAAACACAGACAAAACTTCGAGTTTTTAAACTAAATTTTTTGTCAATTGTCTTTTGATTTTTTTTTAAGCCATCAATCAAACATATATTCTTTTTACAAATTTTACGAAATACAATTTGTTTTAGAATTTTGGTTGCCTGAGTGCGTTGCTTCTTTTGATATTTTTTTCCATCAATTACCTCGGTCGTTTTAGAGTAAATCATGATTAATTAAAAAAAAAACAAATTCACCCATCAGCACTATGAATTTTTGCTGAAAATTCGAAAAAAATGACCATAGCAATTCTGGTAAAATTCCAACCAATTTAGGTTCAGTTCACTTTTTGTTTCAATGCGTTTCAATTTCTAAATGTACGTTTTATTCGGTTAATTTAAAGCAGGACTGAGTATTCTGTTTTATAATATAATATTAGCGACATGGGCCCGGGGACGGATCTAAGTTTTTCCCGAGGAAGGGCTCGGACTTTCAAAAAACATTCGCATCTTTTATCGACCTTATTTTAGGTTTGACTAAATTGATTTTGCGAGCTCTCCTAAAGCACTAAAATACCCTTGAAAGAAAAACAGGCCAAATGATGCGTTTTAAGGCACTTTAGGCGCTGCCACCTCAAAATTAGTTAATCAAAATTAGCTGCCACTCCAGTCGCTGAGGCGAGAGGTGTCGCACCCACACCCCTCCCCATCGTCATTACAGACCATCAAGCTTTGAGCAGGGCATTAAACGCAAGCAGAAAATCAAAAAGTAGCCAAAGTAGGCCAACAAGATGAATCGACCGATTAATACCCTTCAACATTGAAAAAAAAACTCGGCAGGAAAGAAAATGGTCTGAATCTTTGCTGGCATTGTGGAAGACGAAAACAATAACAAAGTTTGAACGTTGAATAGCAAAAAACACAGACAAAACTTCGAGTTTTTAAACTAAATTTTTTTTCAATTGTCTTTTGATGTTTTTAGGCCATCAATCAAACATATATTCTTTTTACAAATTTTACGAAATACAATTTTTTTTAGAATTTTGGTTGCCTGAGTGAGTTGGTTCTTTTGATATATTTTTTCCATCAATTACCTCGGTCATTTTAGAGTAAATCATGATTAATTAGAAAAAAAACAAATTCACCCATCAGCACTGTGAATTTTTGCTGAGAAATTCGAAAAAATTGACCATAGCAATTCTGGTAAAATTCCAACCAATTTAAGTTCAGTTCACTTTTTGTTTCAACGCGTTTCAATTTCTAAATGTACGTTTTATTCGGTTAATTTAAAGCAGGACTGAGTATTCTGTTTTATAATATAATATTAGCGACATGGGCCCGGGGACGGATCTAAGTTTTTCCCGAGGAAGGGCTCGGACTTTCAAAAAACATTCGCATCTTTTATCGACCTTCTTTTAGGTTTGACTAAATTGATTTTCCGAGCTCTCCTAAAGCACTAAAATACCCTTGAAAGAAAAACAGGCCAAATGATGCGTTTTAAGGCACTTTAGGCGCTGCCACCTCAAAATTAGTTAATCAAAATTAGCTGCCACTCCAGTCGCTGAGGCGAGAGGCGTCGCACCCACACCCCTCCCCATCGTCATTACAGACCATCAAGCTTTGAGCAGGGCATTAAACGCAAGCAGAAAATCAAAAAGTAGCCAAAGTAGGCCAACAAGATGAATCGACCGATTAATACCCTTCAACATTGAAAAAAAAACTCGGCAGGAAAGAAAATGGTCTGAATCTTTGCTGGCATTGTGGAAGACGACAACAATAACAAAGTTTGAACGTTGAATAGCAAAAAACACAGACAAAACTTCGAGTTTTCAAACTAAATTTTTTTTCAATTGTCTTTTGATGTTTTTAGGCCATCAATCAAACATATATTCTTTTTACAAATTTTACGAAATTATATTTTTTTAGAATTTTGGTTGCCTGAGTGAGTTGGTTCTTTTGATATATTTTTTCCATCAATTACCTCGGTCATTTTAGAGTAAATCATGATTAATTAGAAAAAAAAAACAAATT